CACATTAGCTAGTGATTGTTCCTACACAATTGAAACACCAATACAAACAAGAAAAGATAACATTAGTAAGAAAAAACTTAATTTTTGACAATTAACATACATAAAACATTTTACCTTGAATTTTTGACTATTCCACTTGTCAATTAGAGATGTCCACTGATTGAGAGTAACTCTTGCAGGTGGGTGGCTTCTCGCATAATCCTCCCCTCTTGCATCCTTAAGTTGCTTGTATTGTTTGTGCAACTTATAGGTGAAACCACTCAATCATCGACCAAACTGTGTGTCTAAAGCCTTTGCTACATCAGTCTGATTGCCTTGTAGATCAAACTGATCTTGCAAAATGAAAAAAAATAAAAATTACAAAGAAACAGAGTCTAAACATGAAAAGAGTTTGTCAATAATTACCGCTAAGCGTTGGATCATCGGCTCTTTATCAGCAACATTCACCGTCTTCCACCTACGAACGCTCAGGTCTGGTAACTGCGTTCAAACCTCTATACCAATCTTGGAGACTAGCTTGGAGGCGTTGTCTCCTACTGGTGCATGAAACTGTTCAGGTATAGGAACTAACATCTTCCCATCCTTCTCGACAATGCGATGGGCCTGTATGCCGCGTGTCGAGCCATGACCACGTCTGTCATGTGATGCTGTAAGGATATAATATTAATTGAGTTAGTAAGTAAACAAATGTAAGTTAAACCTCAAAAACAACTTTGCAAACTTACCAACGATGGTAGATGTAGTCACCTCGTCCTCAGGTTGCACATTATAAGGTGGTAAGGGTTGGGTACCAACCTCCTCAGTTGGGGGATCCATCCTTTCCTTTGGGGTGGGAGTTAATGGCCTTGAATGAGATCATAAATGTTGTCCTGGTGCCATCTGTTGTTCTTGAAAGAACATAATCAAACAGTGAAAAGGATATTTAAAACAGTTAAAATATATTTTAAAAAGATATGATGTGTAAGATATGTGAAGAAGAAATGTAAAAAGTAAAAAATATGTTCACACACAAATATAAAATAATGTGTATAATACCTCGTGGTCAAAGGAACCCAATGACTCATCATCATTGTCATCCTCACTCTCTGAAGGGTTATACTCAACATCATCATCTACCTCAACCCTAATTTCCTTTTCCCTTGCAGTTGCACATTTGGGTTGAACCGCACTCCCTAAAGAATTTGTAATATTCTGCACTCCAAGATTGTTCATTACCTCACAGTTCTCCTTGATTCGCTTATTTCTTTGTTTCTCGTATTTTGTTAGCTTCTTAGTTCTCAAATCACCTGGTTTCAGCCATTGTTTTTTGCCTCGGACCATTTTCTACAACTATATAAAAGAAGAAAAATATAGACAATGTCATCATACACCATTACATAAAAGAAGAAAAAGAAAGTAACATAATCATATAAAATAAAAATTACATTAATTAATAACATCTGTTCGAAAATAAAGTGATATACTAAAAATTACATATCATAATCCATATCAGGATCCATATCAACATTAGGAATACTATGTTCTTCATCTCCTTCATCATCTCTATTCTCTTCCATTATCGCATCTGATGACCCTACTTCCGAAATAACATTGAATTCAACATCATCCCTGCAGTATCGAACAATTGGGTCAATGCCAATTGGAACAACATCAGTAATGTTTTCTTGTTGGAACACATCATTATTTTCTAAAGGATCCAATAATTCTCCATCACTAGTGTCTGGAACATCAAAGACACACCTATGTTGTACCCTTTGTACGACATTCCAAGGTTCACCCAATTTGGTATCATTCAGATAGAAGACTTGCTTAGCTTGACTAGGTAGGATAAATGGGTCAGATTGGTACCACCGACTTGTGACATCAATGCTTATGCAATATGTATCAAATTGTATTGTTCTGTTTCTACCAGTGTTACCAGTGTTGTACCATTCACACTGGAACAAAACAACCTTTTTACCACATATGTAGTCAAATTCCAAAACCTTGCACAAGTGACCATAGAAGTCATGCAATCTTCCTTCATGATCCCCGTGTGTAAGCACACCACTATTCTGACTCGTACGACGATTGTCTAGATCTCAAGTATGGAACCGGCTGCTATTGATTATGCAACCTGAGTACTCTTCCACTAGCAAATTAGGACCATTTGCTAATGACCACAATTCATCAGTTGCCTCTAATGACTCTTCCATTTTCAATCTATTTATCTACAATTACATGTAACAAACAATAAGTAAATAATTTATGAATGACGACATTTTATAAAACTTTAATTTTGTTAAAGTTGTAAATGTCGAAAAATTATAAATGTTTTACCCTCTCTTTGAACCACTTGGGAAATTCTTGTCGTTGTATGTGGGTTATGTCATGTCCAGCTTGAGTTTGTAATAGATTTTTGTGTTCCCTACTCAAAAAAAAAAAAAAAAAGAAAAAAAAAGGGATTACTACGTTGTTCCGCAAATAAAAAAGCTAAGCATAAACATAATTCGATGAAACACATACTCCAAATACTTTTCAATCTCTGGGCTATTGTACAACACAAACCAATGAGCAATATCACGAATTTCTTGAGACATTTCAGCATCTCGTGTGATTAGACCAATTAGACGTGCAATTTCTGCGAATACTGTCAACCCTTGTTGACGTTCACCGCGATCTTCATTCTGTTCTGGTCGATTATGCACGGTTTTAATCCCATCAACATACATTGAACAAAAAGTAATGCACTCTTTGACAATGTAAGCCTCGGCAATTGAACCTTTTGGTCGAGCTTGGTTGGTCACATATTTTCTTAATGCTCCAAGAAACCTTCAAGAGAGATCGAACTAGGACTATAATTACATATGTAACACACTTACGTAAATCTTATTTACAAGTGTAAGTGTAAAAATACCTTTCAATTGGGTACATCCATCGATATTGTACAGGTCCTCCAAGAATAGCCTCACGAGGCAAATGAACAGCCAAGTGGATCATCACATCGAAGAAGGCTAGAGGAAAGATCTTTTCAAGCTTGCATAAAATTTGTATTATACATTCCTCTAATTTCTCCAGTTCGCTTCGCCTTAGTGTCCTAGAGCATAGGTCTTGGAAGAAATTGCCTAACTCAAAAAGTGTAGTGCTAATTTCTTTATCCACGTAACCACGCATTCCAATGGGAATAATTCTTTGTATTAGTACATGGTAGTCGTGGCTTTTTAGGCCTGTTAGTCTACCATTTCTTGCATTCACTGATTTGGATATGTTTTCCGCATACCCATTTGGATACTTGACAGTTTTTAAAAATTCAAAGAAACCCTCCCTTTCTGCAGGTGTCAATGAAAAGATTGCTCGAGGCTTGACATATGATCCATCAGGTCGTTGTGTTAGCCATTGCTTTTTCCTTATACCCATATCTTCCAAGTCTAACCGTGCCTTGTATGTATCCTTGTTCTTTCCATCAATACCTAACATAGTTCCGAAAACATTTTCACTAAATTTTTTCTCCTCATGCATGACATCAATATTGTGTCGAAGTTTTCACTTCTTCCAATAGGGTAACTCATACAAGATGCTTACCTTTGTCCAATTAGGTGCGTGACGAGGCCTTTTTCTATTACTTGGATGCTTTCCATATATGATACCTGTCACGTTGTCCAACTGGTCTTGTGTCTTTTCCGTCGGCAACTCCAAAGATCTCTTCTGTTTCTTAATCTTACCATTGTAAGCCCTACTCTTTCGCCTTTCTGGGTGGTCCTCAGGCACATCAATGGTTAGTGTACCCCGTCTTACTTCTCAGAGATTCAAAATATGGTTCATCATTGCAAGTGTAACAAGAATAATGACCCTTTGTTCTCCACCCAGATATGTCACCAAATGCAGGCCAATCATGTATTGTCCACAACAAAGTTGCAGGCATTCGAAAAGTCTCATTGGTGTAGGCGTCGTAAGTCAATGCACCATTCGTCCATAAATCATTCAACTCATCCACCAATGGTCGCATATAGACATCAATATCAATCCCTGGTTGCGATTCTCCAGGAATAAGTAATGACATCAAAGAAAATGGATCCTTCATAACCAACCAAGGTGGCAAGTTGTATGGAATGAGTATGACGGGCCACAAATTATAAGAGTTGTTCATGTTCCCAAAAGGGTTAAAACCATCAACGGCCAACCCTAGCCTCACATTTCGAGGCTCCAAGGCAAACTCGGGATGCTGTGCATCAAATTCCTTTCACTCATCACTGTCAGTGGGATGCCTCAATATCTCGTCGTCCACTCGTTTGTCTTTGTACCATCTCATGTCCTCAGCTCTCTTCCTTGACATGTACAATCTTTTCAACCTTGGTGTCAAAGGAAAGTACCGCAATACTTTATGAGGGATCTTCTTACCCCTTCCACGATTGATCTTGTATCTAGATGTCTTACAAGTCGGACATTTATCTAGTGTTGCATTCTCCTTCCAAAATAATACACAATCATTTATGCAAGCACGAATGAGCTCATATGACAAGCCCATGTCACGTAGTATTTTCTTAGCTTCATAAGTTGACTTTGGAACCAAATTTTCTTTTGGTAAAAGTCTACTTAAAAACTCTAGCATCATATCAACTGACTTGTTGCTCCAATGATTTGTTACCTTCATATTAAGCATCTCAATCACAAACTTCAACAAAGTATAATTTGTACAATTTGGGAACAGCTCACGCTTGGCATCAGTCAACAATTGATCAAAAGTTCTCACTTCCTCCCCTTGGGTTGTATCAATCGATTCCCCTCTTATTCGATCTTCCACTAAGGCTTCAATACCACCTACAATTTTATCACCATCAAGTCACATCTCATCATCATGGTAAGCCTCGTTTGAAACACGGGGTTCCCCGTGCTAGTGCCATATAGTGTAAGTTTGCATAATCCCATATTGGAGCAAATGAATTTCCACATTTTGAAGATTTTGTCTACAAACATTCACACACTTTATACATGGGCACAACAGATTACCATTCTGGTCTATAACCCCTATTACAAATTGAAGAAATAACTTGACCCCATCATTATATGGTTTACCCATCCTTCCATCAGCCATCCTACCTAGGGCAATCCAACTTTTATCCATGTCTGATCACAAATGAAAGATTAGGAACAATATAGTATAATGTAGACTTGTGTATTTATAAACTAATTAAATTGAAAAATTCAATAACAACTTCACCAAATATATGTCCAGATCTTTAATGAAGATTCTTATACAAGTTCTAATGTTATATGAAAGTAAGGAATAAAAACTAACAAAAATGGTCATTATTGATTTTAACATTCTAACACCACCATTCTAACACCATTCCTACTGCAATACAAAAGCAAAATACTCCACCATTATCACACCAAAATACTCCACCAGCAGAACTCCTGCACTGAAGGCTACTGATGTTGCACCTACTAACCTAGGCCCCTTCTAAAAACATAGTAGCTAGTGCAAGAGCATACTTGATACTACCTAAACATAACATTACTACTACTACTACTACAAAGACCAAAGAGGCATGGCCCCTAATACATGTAATGAACTGCCACCGTCAAAAGGCCTAAAATATGCAGCCTATATATATGCAGCAGATGGGATTGAAATTGAAGTCAAAATGCTAAGTGGGATTGAAGAATAGTTGTATGGCAAAAGAAGCAACAATAGAAAAATAGCAGGTTGTATATATATATATATATGTATATTTTATATGTAAAAAAACCTGCAACCAGTGAGAGAGAAACTGAGGAATGAAAGGTGGGGATCAATCGAAAAAGAAAAAATTGAGAAGTGGTGTAATTGGCTGCTGAAGTTATATATATATATATATTTTATATGTATATAGAGCATTATACAGAGCATATACAGAGCATTATACAGAGCATATTTTATATGTATACAGAGCACATTTCATATGAATACAGAGCATATACATCAGACAAATACATCAGATGGAGCATCGAGAGAGAGAGAGAGAGAGAGAGAGAGAGAGACTAATAGCGGTGGTGTTCTCCGATCGGCACAGCAACAGCGGTAAGGAAAGGAGGCGCTAACGATCGGCAGCAAGGGAAGGAGAAACCAACAGCGGCGGTGAGGGCTGTCGGCGGTGAGTCGATGAAATGGTAGCAGCGGCAGTGGGTTGATGCAATGGTAGCAGTGGCGGTGAGGGAAGGCTGTGTGTGAATGAGTATAACGTGTGTGTGTGTGTGTGTGTGTGTGAAATAGGTTGAACCGAGAAATTATTGTGTGCATTTGAGAAGAAGAACTGATTGTGCCAAAACATTTTTATTTCCCCCCTAAAATATTTAGTGACTAAATTATTTTTTGGTGACAAATTATTTCTTCACCAAAGATAAAAATATTGGCCACAAAAATAGTTTTGTCACTAGATGATATTAAAATATTAAAAATTATTGGTGACAAAAATATATTCGTCATTAATAATTTTATAATTGGTGACCAATTTTTTCGTCACCAAAAGTCTATTAATTTTGGCACCCTCCGAAAATATTAGCGGAAAAATATTTGATGACAAAAAAAATATAAATAATGACGAAAAATAATTTCGTCGCCTATTTTTTTTTATTATGATTTAGATTGGAGACAAAATATGATTTTTGTCATTAAAAGATACGTATTTCGTGAGAAAAAAAAAATTCGTCATTAGTTTTCATCTCTAAAGACTATTTTTGTTGTAGTGCTGATGTCATCTTCAAGATCACCTTTCCTTGTCCAACCCCAGTAAAAGTAGAAGAATTTCCTATGAAAAGTTGTTCACCATTTGCAGCCTCATTATAGGTAGTGAACATCGTCTTGTCCGCACATATGTAACGAGTTGCTCCAGTGTCAACCCACCACCTCTTGGGATTTCCAACCAAATTAGCCTTAGACACCACAGCAAACAGGTCGATGTCATTCACCCCGTCAAAGATATAATCTAATTTTGTCACATTGGCCTGATTGGTGGTCTTCTTGCTTGTACTTCCGCAATCCTTCTTAGGACGGCGGCAGTCAGAAGCTCAATGTCCAATCTTTCCACAGTTATAGCATTTTCCTTTGAACTTCTTATTGCCATTGTTGTCGCCTTGTTTAGGACCATCTCCAGTAAACTTCCTCTTTTTGTTATGTGGTTTATGAACTTGTTCAACCACATTAACCTTAGACTGTCACGACCCAAACCCGCCCTTATGGGTTTAGCACCGTAACCGGCCAGTAATCCGTGATTACCGAAGGCCTGCTTAACAGTAATAACAATAATACAGAGTACAGGGGCTGGCGGAAGCCAAAACAGTAATAAAAGATGTCCAATGAGCTGTGACAAAC